AAAAAAAAATAGTGTTCAATTTGCTCCCAGCGTGGCTCGGAGACCCTGGCACACTCAGAACAAGCTGTGTAATTTAAGAGCTTCAAATCCCATCCCTGTGAGTCCTGGGGGCCCAGAGGTTGCCGTGGCATCGGCTCGAGTGCTGCTGATGGTAGTAGGGCAAAGAAACCAGCAGCTGGCAAGGAGGAAAGGATGGGATGTCGGCCCCTGAGGTTGGCCGGTGCTGCGCTGGCACTTTACTGCATATGGGAGCAAAACTGATGGGAATATTTGCACTCGAGTCAGGAGATGTGAGTGGGTTTGTACTGTCGTTAACAGAATAAAACTGTGTTCAGTTTCTGTGAAAAATTCTGAGGGTCTTCTGGTAGAAGTTCCTACAAAGTGTCAACAGCAAAGATAATGGCTGGTTAACATTTCTCAGCTTGCACAATCCCTCAGAGTTTTAAAGTGCAGGTCAGTTAGTTCCTTTTAAATGCTTTTCACTATAGCTCCTTTAATCGCCCCATTCAAAGAGAAGTTGTGTGTTTCATTCTAGTCTGTTGTGTGCCACAGTATTTCACCGGATGTGTTTGGTGCCAGTGTCTTCATCCATCCATCCATCCATCCATCCATCCATCCATCCATCCATCCATTGGTCCAGTACTTTCATTGGCCGCATGGCAGAACTTTCTCTCCTTTGAAGATTTAGGACTCTTCAGCACAGTTACGATGCCACCAGCCCTAGGCCATGGGATGTGCCTTCGGTGTGGGAAGAAGTGGCTGTTCCTTCTGGCTGGCCATGCTGTTGTGATGCAAGTGCTAATAAATGTGTATGAATTAATGTATGTGCTCTGGAGCTGAACTAAGCATATGTATTTCCTTTACCCAGCTGTCTGCTCTTGCCCTTCTGCTCTGTGTGATAATATGCTACTAAAACTGTGCTATACCGGTGACTTCCCTATCAAATTCTACCATTTGTGGGATGATATTCCCCCTGGAACAACAGATGAAGGAGGAATGCAAGCTAATTGATTCAGCACTCCTCCACTGCCTCTGAGCACAAGCACTTAGCTGTAATAATTATGAAACAAAAGAATTTACGCTGAGTTATAAACTGGTATCACAGAACTCAGTAAATGGTGTATACTTCATGAACTGTCAGCTATTTAGAGTATTGCCATATATTTTTATGGTTTCAGTGCACTCTTCCAACTCATATATGTAACTAATGTCATTTCCCATGTCAAGATGGCATAATGTTGATAGTGTGTAACTGTGGAGGAGGAAGAGGTTGGGTTTTTTTCTCAATAAATCCGTGCCTGTAAGCTACTAAATAACAGCTGTATTTCAGGGCACTGAGGAGTCATGGCTTAGTATTCATACATCCTTTTCCCAGTTTAGAACCAGTAAGACCTTGTACTAAAAGTTCTTCCCATGAGTGTAACTGCACCTACTGCAAAAATAATAAGAGCTAATTTTTTTACAAAACAACAGAACAGGTGTAAAGCACTTGTCTCTGTATGATGTGCACTGACAGAATGGCATTTCTCAAGACAGTTGGTTAACTAAGAAAATAATAACCTAGCATCTTGAAAGTGTCCAGTGTGGTTGCTTTGAAGAGATTGTTTAAATTAAGCATTAAGATTTCTGTTGCTAGCATACGCCTCTGAAAAATGAATATTGCTTTTGCAATTTGGAGCATAAATCAGCAGGATATAAAGCAGCAGGCACGTTTTTGGTGGACTTTTTCTTTATCTAAGCATGATTCCCATTTGAAAAAAGAGGAAAGACTACATCTTCATTGTCCAATTAAAAAAAAAAAATGTTTAGATAGAAGGAAATGCAATTCTTTTTTATTGATTTCCACACAGAGGTTTATAATATTTCTCAGAAGCTGGTGTTTTCTCTTTAATATTATGCTCCCACCTCCCTTCTTTTTTATTGTGTTAGCAGAGAGCTTTTTCCCTTTCTGTCTTGAACACAATTTTTTGTTGCAGATTTTCTTTGAAGTATTTAGAATCATAGAATCATAGAATGGTTAGGGTTGGAAGGGACTTTCCCCTTCCCATGGGCAGGGAAATCCTCCACTACACCAGGTTGCCCAAAGCCTCATCCAACCTGGCCTTGAACACTGCCAGGGATGGGGCATCCACAACTTCTCTGGGCAACCTGTTCCAGTACCTCACCATCCTCAATGTAAAGAATTTCTTTCTTATATCTAACCTAAATCTGCCCTCTTTCAGTTTAAATCCGTTGCCCCTTGTCCTATCACTACACACTCTTGTAAAAAGTCCCTCTCCAACAAACATTTCATGAATGTTTATGCAAACAAGTAAAACTTGGAGTAAAGCTTCTAAATTACTGTAAATGCCCAAAGCTCTTATCAAACCTCTGTTCTTCTGGTGGTGATTGATGGGACTTATGAGAATTAATTTTCTTTCCCAACTACCTGCAACGATAATCAATTTCCACATATATAATGTCAAACCCTATTCACATTGTGCAGGTGATAATATCAAAAGCTCCTATTTATTCATCCTGGGGCCTATGCTGTATTTTAATTTAGGACTGTGCATGTTTTAAGATGAATGAACTTTCACCCTCTCCTTTGTCTGCACTTTTTTGTTGATGGATACTGAATGTTTTCAACCTGGTTCTTTTCAGAAGCTGTTTGTGGACTTCTAGAAGAGATTAAATGAGGGCATGTTCTTGTAACTCTGTATTCTCCTTATCAGAGACATTTTTGAGGTGACAGAAAACTATTTGGATGAGATTCAGTTGCCTGAAACAATACTAGGTGACTACTCTTAGATACCCAGCTACTGCCTTGCCTCTTGCTGCCGCTTTCAAAGAGTGCAAATCTTCTGCTAATCTTGTCATGTCTGCCACTCAAATGAGAATGTCTCAGATTTTCTAGAGCATCTCAAATGAGACAAAGCATTTATGCTTAAGCCACTGAATCCTACCTTTTAAGTGTGAGAGAAAAATATTTTTTATGTGTATTATTTTAGTTATTTGCTGCTTAGAAAGCCTCAATAGTTTTAGCCTTCTAACTCTCTTCTTAGTATTCACAGATTGTAGTGCTCCAAAATTTGCTGCTCCTTGGTTTTATTTCTGAATATGTACAATAAGTGAAATAAATTTGGGTTTGTCTTCATCAATTTCTATAACAAAGTAACTTATTGTAAGTCTGCTAGGAAACTTGAGTTATTTGCCATTTAACACCATTGAAATGGAGGAAAATGTCAATGGTGAAACTCAAGCTGTTTGGCTTTTCTGAAGGTCTGTAGATGTGTCGTGTCTCACAGCAGGTGTACTTTTTGTTTGGTGTAATTCGTATTTTGAAACAGAGAAGCAAAGTTTTATTTGGGAAGTGTTCATCTGTTCATTATTTAGCCTTCATGTTTTAAGATGCTGTTTAGTGCCAAACATCTTGGAGTTAATGAAACAATTTTCCATTTTAAAATTAAATTTCTGTGTATTGCATTCTAAACTCTCTATCCATGATCACTTCTAAACATATTTTGAAATGAAAGCCATGGAATTTGGAAACACTTCTACAAGAATGCCAAAGACTTTTCTGGAGTGGCTAGAGGGAAAACTTATGCCTGATCTTTAGCTGTCAGATATAAACATACTGCATCTAGAACACTAATGAAATGAATTCTTTTTCCACAGACTGCAGCAGGTCTAATAAAAAATTTAAAGGGCAAGAGTATTGAGGAGAAAAAGTAGAATTCTTGCTTGAAAATGCAAGAGAAAAATTCAGAGCTCTCTTAGGCTACTTGAAGTTCAACAATTACATATGTGTGTTTGGGGGCTAAATTTTGCTCACTACATTTTCATTAGTTAAAAAAAATCCCGACTATTGCATAAATTTTAAGAGGGCTATTTATTTTTCTCATTGTATATAAATATTAAGATGTTTTCTATATCTTAAAAGAACAACTATGAAATACCTGTAAGATGATGGAAGCAAACTTGCCATTGTCTAACTTTTTGGATGGATGCTTGCTTGATGTACTTGCAAAAATACACAAATTATTCTTATTGTCAATTTAAATTTATTGCAAGGTGGGAAAATCTTGACTTTGTGCTTTTAAGCAAGATGTATAGAGCTCTTATTTCAGATCAATCTTTGATGCTGGCATTCACTGAGCACTAACACAAGCTAGCTGAAATGATGCCTCTAGATCTCTGTAAATATGCTGAAGGCTGAAACAGTGGATCAAATGATAAAGAGTCCTTATTTATCATCACTATAATAGATATGTCACAAGTACTTATTTTAAAAGGGGTAGATGAGATAATCTCTGTTTCCAGAAATAAAACTGTACATTTAGGCAGTGAGAAGAACGTAGTGCTTATTCTATTGAAAGCACAAAATGTGTAAAGCTTCTGGTGAGTGCAAAGCAGAAAGGGACCATGTCTATACTCCTGGCTTTTTCTGCATCAGTATATTGACAGGTGTTGGGAGATGCGATAGAAGCGCTGACTGATGTATCTGCCCTGACATGGAAGTCAGTAATGTAGCTACAAATTCCGGTTCCCCTTCTCCCTTTGCCTGACATTACTTTTGTCAGGTGTTTTGTCAGGTGGCTTTAAGATACTAGTATAAAACACAGCTTTGCTAGTATAGCTTTGCCTCTACGTGTCTAGCTTTGATTTGTATACAAAACTGTAAAATGCCTCTATAGTAGAGTCAACTGGAATGGATTATGAATATCCAATAGGTGTATTTTGCCTTTAAAATCTGAAATTTTTCCATTCCTCCTAGAAGTGCTGGAATTCTCTATTTGCAAAGTATGCAGAAAACGAACTCTTTCTGGTTAAAGCTGTGTCTTGTATGACTTGGTTAAAAAAACAAAGAAAAACTTTCAACTGCTTTTTATAAGATCTGTTCTAGTGAAACCACTGTTAACTTTTCTGAGGTTTGATTATTCTTTCTTTAAACAGTCAACTTCTTTTATCAGCCAAAGAACAAGTCATTTAATTAATGATCATTTTTATCTCTTTGAAAGGATCCTTTCCGACCATTGGGGTGAAGTCTCTTTCGAGATTCCTGAGGGCGGGATTTTTAAATAGCATCCTGGCCTCACATCCAGTGTCAGGGGGTGGATCTTTACCCCCCAGCATTTCCTCTGGTAGGTATTCCAGCCTATTCCCCTGCATCAATTTTTCCCTTCACCCTTTGCCTCATCTCTCCACACATCTTAGGGAAAAGAAATTTGGTATTGGTTAGACAGGGAGATTAGATGTCCCGTCCAATAAAGAGCCAAACTGAAAGGAAATGGAAAAGATAAATTACTTTTCAGGAACCAGCCATTTTCCTGAACCAGCGTGTAAGAAGACTGTGAAGAAAACTGATCTGTAATTAAGTGGTTAACCTAAATTTAGAAAAAGAGGACTTGATATCCTCTAACCGTGCACTTCATGAAGCATGCCCGTGTGCACCAGGGAGCCATAACTTTAAGAATGCCTCTATAAAATCCCAGATTTTATGTGACTCAGTGACTCTTCTCTAAAAATTTACATTCCCTTGCTAAAACATGGAAACAAAACAAATTTGGAAAGGCAAAATCTAATGATGTACTGATATAGCATTTGAATCCTTTGTATGCTTCCTTAGTTGCAACTTGTCTCTCATGAAAACCGCCTTAACTTTTTTTAATAACTTTTATCACAATTTGAACTACTATAATTCTACTATTCTAACTACTATTATGTATAGTATCTAGAATAACTACTATTATGTATAGTATATAGAATATATACTGTTCTATAATTCTAACTACTATTCTACTACCATAATAACTACTATAATAGTGAGAAAACCCCATCACCTGTGTTGCCAGCACAGTATTCTGCACTGCCTCTGGCAAGGTCCCCAGCAGAGGCACAGCTGTATGATGGCACAAGGGACCCCAGAGGGCTGCCGTAAGGTTGAGCGTAGGCTAAGAATGAGAACACCGTGCCGGGTGGATGGGCTGCTATCAGATACTGGGCTGAAACAGGAAAGAAGGACAGATTAGAGGCATCCTTTCCCAGAAAGGCAATATGTGTTACCCATTTTCTTCTGGCGCCATTAAACACCATCTTCCACCAAAGCTAATAAATGCAGAATAAATATATGTATCTTAATTACAGTTAAAACTGAATCAAAGCTCAGTTCTGTTCCTTTCCAAACCACATATTTCTATTTAAAATTAATCTGTGTATGGACTAATGTCACATTTTTATCCTTTCAGGACATCTTACCTGTAATGTTACTTACAGTTTTTCTTAAAGAGGAAAAATCTGTTATGGTAAAAGTAGGGAGAAAATTGAAAAATTACATAATGTTATTGATTTCCTATATGAAAGAAACTGTTCTGCTTCTCTATGCCCCATTTTATCTATTGCAACAATGGTAGGCCTCATTAATACAGGATGATTCTTACTTTTTTTTAAGGTGTTATTGCTCTTAAATGTCTTTTACTGGCAATTCTGATTCAATCTGAAGAAATATTCAAAACGGGGGGAAATGGAAATGCAGCTATGTGTTGTACAACAGGTACCCTAGTAAGGTAATGGAAATAAATTTTATTGTTTGATCATGTCAACAACAACAAAATAAGCCAAGTAGCAAGCCCACAGAAAGGGAGAGACTGCCTATCTTCTGGAAGGTGAGGGCTGTCAGGTAGTTGAAAACTAGTGAAGGACTGTAAAAAATCCAATGGACAAGATGTGTTCCTTTGAGAAAGAGTGCATGTGGGATCTAGGTGGCATGAAACACTGCAGTACACGTCAGCAATTGCTGTTAACAAATGTACCCTAACAATCTTGTCTGTAGTGCTGCTATTTAACTCTTCCTTTTTTACTTTATCATATCTGTATTTGAGCACAATCTTAATTCTGAATTGCCTCTCTCTGTTACAGAGATGACCAGAGGATGCCATTTCCATTTCATAACTTTCTAATTGCTATTTGCTGTACACGTGAGCAAAAAACCTGCACATTTACTACACTTTTTTGCCAAAGAAAAAATACCTATTGAAGGGAGTACTGATCTGAGATGTGAGAGACTCAGAACTGAATCTCTTACTGTGAATGTTTCGGTGGAAAACACAAGTTTTCCCCTGAATCCTTAATCACTATAGTACAAACAGAGAAGGGATGTACCCTTTGTTCCTTTGTATCAAAAAACACTGCATTTAACACTTGATCTTTTTTATGAGTATTGGTTTACCAAGGAACAAAGACACCCAAGGCAACAGTGCTCCCAGAAGGTATTTAAGCAGTGATATCTGTGTTATCATGGCAGCCTCTGACTGTTAGAACAGCAACAGGCGGGCAAAATCAACTGCCCATTCCAGTCTTGATGCTGTCTCCGAGGCTTATCCTCTCTCCTTAAAAGTGAGAGAATTGCTATTTGTATATTGGTACTGGAGGGAAGCGTGCTCAATTGCTGCCTCTGATAGCACAGTGACCCCACCTCCATTTTCTGAGATGTTGGGCTCATATTGGACAGTAGCTTTCGTAAGGCTAACAGAAGTACTTCACGTTTAATAACTTTGCTGAATTATAACCTTATTGCTTCACATATTGTTTACATGCAAGATTTCAGTGAATTTAACTACATGAAAGGCTTAAAATGCCTGCTATTAGGGTCATTGGGAACAAAGATAATGAGATGGGTTTTATTTACCAAAACATTTAACTCAAGCTAAGTGACAGGTTTACTCCAAAGTAGTCAGAAAATTTATGCCTTACTACTGAGAAAATGCTTTTACATCTTTTCTCTACAAAATTCCCCACAGATGTTTTAAGCGAAACACAGAACTAAACTGGAAAGCCTGCTATAAATAAGTATTTGGAAAACAGCTTGGCAGGGCAATGTAGCTGCTGGTTTCCTGTTTTCCCTTTCTGCTGTTCACTCAATAGCTGGAGGGAGTGTATTTCTTTTACCATTGCACTGACAGGTGATGTTCAATTTTGTGTAATTTGATGTCTGCTTTTGCACTGTGCAGAGGTTCACTTAAGTAAAAAGTATTCTCATTTAGCCAACTTAAAGATTAATTTATGCTGCTGGCATGGGGTGTTACGTCTTTCTGCATAAATGGATTGCCTCAAATGTAGGTGTTTTTTAAATGTAGACATAACTATGCTAATGCAGTAGTGCTTAGATTTGCTAGTTGCATCAAAAGTCTGTCACTGCTATACAGCCATTTCACTAGAAGCAAAGCTTTCAGCAGGTCTCCAAATATCCATCCTAGATTTTTACAAAATCAAGCCCATTTTCAGACAGTAGCTTCCTTTTGATTTAGCTATCATATTATGTCACAAATTATTTAGTTTCCAGTTATCGCACCTGTTAGCAGTACAAATTCATATGATTTAGTTGATGTAGGTCTATAATGACAGACGGATTCACATAAGCCATAAGTACTTTTTCTCAAGTGACATCCTTTTATATATTAAATAGAATTCTTAAACTACTCAGCAGTTTACACTCCTCATCATGCTTACACTGGCATGAGCTACACAAGCTTACCCTCTCCTTCATAGTTACACATACACACAAACGTACACATATACACACATGTTGTGAAAAAACAAATCACTAAATTGCCAGTGCTGCATCTATTTCTTCAAATTCCATCTCTTCCAAACTAAGACAGTGTTGATTGCTCCATTTTGGGGAAATTCTTAGCTTACTACTCTTGCGGTGTGTTAGCAGCTCTTGACTCAGTCACATGTAGAGGGTTTCTTATGTAAATGCATACCCATATTGCCTGGCAGAAGTTACGGATAGAAAAATTTATGGTATGCTGCAGTCTTTGAAGAGTGTCAGAGAGATTGTTAAGCTTGCTGAGTTGGAAAGGAACAGAAGGAAGGCAAATACCTTTCCTACTGTTTCTTTCAAGCTGAACTCCTTTCCTCAGCTTTTCTGTTGACAAGAGCAACTAGAGATGAGTGTCAGGCTATGAGAGACTATGGAAAAGTTCCCATTAAGTGAATCTCCCAGACCCCCTTCATACTGTTCAGCAAACTACTTTAGCAGTAGAGGGGGAAAAAAGTCAAAATTATTCTTTCCATACACACCTTTCTATGAACATCAGTGCTGCGATTTGCTTGTGAATCCTCTGATCTCCCCATGTAGTCAGCACTGGATCATTGCCCCCTACTTCATTCACAGAGCACCTCTGAAGCTTCTGTGAAAGCATCTTGATAGGACTTTTTTAATGAAGTATGAGCATCAGTTATTTCCTACCACTTATTTTGCAAGGATTAATTATCCAGCTCTTTAATATTTTAGGAAAATGAATGCAAAGAAATTAGGCTTGATAAAACAATCCATCCCTGTGAACCTGAAAAAATGTGTGCAAAAAATGAGGATGCACTTACTTTCCAGAAACTTAGACATGATATAGGACAGTTTACTCACTGCTGTTTTGGACTAGATACTGACAGGACTCCTCATCCACATAAAGTACTTTCATAGAATCGCAGAATCATAGAATGGTTTGGGTTGGAACCCTGCCATGGGCAGGGACATCTTCCACCCCATCAGGTTGCTCAAAGCCTCATCCAACCTGGCCTTGAACACTCCTAGAGACAAGGCAGCCACAACTTCTCTGGGCAACATTTTCCAGTCCTCACCACCCTCAGAGTGAAGAATTTCTTCCTTAGATCTAATCGAAATCTGCCCTCTTTCAATTTAAAGCCATTACTCCTTGTCCTATCACTGTATGTATATTATATAAAGGATATCCCCTTTTCAGTGTTTTACTGCCTGGTTGTCTATGTATGTTAATCTAACATACATTGTAATATTCATGTTTACTACAGGGAATTTCTCAAAAACTCAGACGTAACTGTAGAATACTAAACCAGATCATTATCAGTTTTTTTTTCCCAAAACTAATATTTTATTACAATTTCCAAGTACACCTGAGTGAGCCCATTATTCTTGATATTGCATAAACTGAAAATTGAAAGCAAATTGTATTGACAGACCCTTATTGAACAAAATTACTCAACAAGAACCATCAAGGAGCAACTGTTCATAGTGAAAGTCAACTATAATTATAGTACTTCAATAATGAGAAAAGTAACTTCTGGGTTTTTTTCAGTTAATGCATTTTTCCCTACTCTGCATTCC